TCGAAATTAAGCCCGACGGCTTACCGCTAAAATCGCGGATTTTCCCCTCCCGACCCCTAATGATGACGACACGCACGAGAGACACACAGACACAAACAAGCTCACAAGACACACAGCCAGCTGGCTGCCACACACCCTGAGTTGGCGTACACATAACTCAAGGCCACATCCTCCCTGTCGCCCCCCCCAGCACTCCAAGGTGCCAAGAGAAACAACAAGGGCACAATAAACAACAGACGACAGGAAGTGACATGTGAGGCTAGAGCAGCATGCTCCACCTCTAGCAATCTCTCCGGCCGGCGAGGCACGGACGAGACCGTATGTGGGGTCTAGTATAAAATTCTAAGAAGAATTTTACAAAAAAAAGAATTCCACGTGTACCGGAAACTTGCGCCACCATCGTTTGAAGCTCCTCACCGGGCCGAGCTCGCCGATGTCGTCGCCGTCGCCGTCGCCTCCTCGGACACCTCGCACCAAGGCCTGGGAGGATTCGTGGCTCGCCGCCACCCGTGCGTGTCTCCCACAGCGGCAGTGGTACAGCCCGCCGCAAAAGACGGAGCAGAAGGTGGATGCTCTGCCAGAGAGCGCAAAACTCTTGAGCCGCAGCGGTACGCCTCCGAGGAGCACGCCGATCGCAGGGCGGGCGCGCTCTCCTCTGGCGCCGCTCGGGAGCAACGCCCTCGCGGCACGGCCGGCGGCGGCGAAGAAGCCAGCGGCCTTGGCACCCGTGGCGCTGCCCTCGGAGCAGGTGGCGGTGCTGGGAGTGGAGCGGGGAGAGGCGGCCGCGCTGGCGTCGGCGTCGGCCCGGGTCGGTCGGGTCCGCCAGCTCGCCTGCTTCCGCCATCGCGAGTGCGTCGTCCTCCACGAGCCACGCAGCGACGCCTTCTTTGTCTGGCTCCCCTCCCTCACGCTGCCGTCGGCAGACACCGGCCAGGTGGCTGACGTCTTCTTCTCGCTCACCCGCGGCGGCCTCTCCCAGCACGTCGTCACCGCGTCGCAAGAGGTCTTCTCCGCGTCGCTGGCCGTGCTGCCCCCCCCACTCCTCCTCTCCCTCTTCCCTGACGCGCCGCCGCTGCCGACC